AAATCAGCGGATACAGACTCCTAACCAAGGCGGAACACTTGACTACGGTTTTCTCCACATGCGAGCGGAATAGGAGCTTTTCGTCAAACAACATCCCGAGATAGGTTACTTCGGCGGACCACTCAACCCTTGTGCCATCCATGATTACAGTACAAGAGGGAGCCGGTTTTAGTTTGGGTGATTGCCGATGGAGGAACATGATTGTTTGTGTTTTGGAAGCATTGATTTTGATTTTCCACGTGGTGGCATAATCAGCAAAGGCGTTAAGGCATCGTTGAAGTTTGTTCGTTATTTCGCGAGGCATCCTTCCTTTGACGGCTATTGCGGTATCATCTGCGAACAGGAAAAACACGCAACCGTCTCCAAGGGGAGGAATGTCGGAAGTGTAAATGCTGTAAAGCAAGGGTCCCAGCAGACTGCCTTGCGGGACTCCTGCTGGAATGGAAAACGTGTCTGAAAGACAACCATTCAACGATACCTTAAACGACCTTTGCTGGAGGTAGCTACGGGTGATTTTAACCAGATGTAATGGAAAGTTGAAGTTACAAAGCTTGTATACAAGCCCATTGTGCCAGACATTATCAAACGCTTTCTCAACGTCTAACAATGCCATGGCTGTGGACTTGGATACAGCTTTGTTACTTCGGATGTTATTCATCACCCGCACTAGCTGGTGATTGGTGGAGTGCCCCTTTCTGAACCCAAACTGTTCCGGAAGGAGAATGTTATTTTCCTCGACAAACTTGAGCAAACGATTGAGAATGAGTTTCTCGAACAATTTGCTCAGCGCTGAAAGGAAGCTGATTGGTCTGTAGCTTGAAGCTAGCGTTGGGTCCTTCCCGGGTTTGCGGATAGGTATGATTTTCGCTATCTTCCAGATACTTGGAAAGTAGTGCAGTTCCAAGCATCTGTTGAAGACAGCAGCCAGCAGAGAGTGAACCTTCATGCTGAGATTTTTCAACACTAGGTTGAATATTCCGTCAAACCCGGGGGCCTTCATGTTTTTGGTGCATTTCAGCGCTGAGCAAATCTGTTCAACTGTGATTCTATCCTCCGGAGGGATGGCACAAGGGGAGGAATCAAGGTTGAGTACGCATTGCTCAACCTGAACTTCGAGCGGACTTTGGATGTTGGAGCCAAGCAAGTGCGATTTGGCAATATGCTCACCAATCGCATTTGCTTTCTCCTGAGGGGTGATTATGAGCCGATCGTCATCATTTTCATCTTTTAGTGGCGGAATGGGTTTAGGGTGCGTCTTTAAGACCTTGGCAACTTTCCAGAATGGTCTGGAGCGGTCGTCCAGATTCTGGACAAGCCGCCCGAAACTTTCGTTCCGGAGTGAGACCATTCTGGAAGCAATCTCCTTGTTCAGATTGGCCATTTCACGTTTCCTCGCTAGATCTCCAGTCCTCTGAAACTGGCGTCTACGAACATTTCTCAGGCGAATTAAGAGTTGGGTGTGGGAATCAATGGCAATAAACTTACCCCTCACTGGAACTCGTCGGACGCACGCCTCGTCAGCCACGGTTATGGCTTGGTGGAGTACTTCCAACGCTCGGTCGATGTCCTCCACGGAGTCAAGCGGCGGGTTGTCGATGATGTGCCTGTCTACCACGCGTCCAAACTGGGCCCAGTTTACGCGATGGTAGTCCTTGCGCAGGCTTGGAGCAGCAGCTACGTTGTATCCCAGTTCAGCCACCACCGGTTGATGGTCGGAGCTGAGTTCATTTAAGGCTACCGGCTTGGACAAGCCGGTATTTGAAAGAAACAGGTCTAGCGTCGATGGGTTGCCTGCCGGTGAGATGAATGTTGGCTCGTCCGAGAACCAAACGGAGTACAGCCCATGCTGCGAATGGTCGAACAGCAGACGACCGTTCTGGTTCTGCTGGTAGTTCCGCCATGCCTCATGACGAGCATTCAGATCTCCTCCAACAACGAAGCGGGAACCAGTACGGGTGATGGTGGACAGGTCCTTCTTAAATTTTGCCGCTAGTCCACTGCTGGCGGCACACTGTCGAGGGCAGTAGACGGCGATGAACTGGACGTATCCAGTCGACGACTCCACCTCCACACCAAGGGCCTCGATGATAGAGGTGCGGATATGGGACAGAGTGTGGTATTTTATTCCTTTCTTGACGACGACCGCAACACCACCCCCCCTGGAGCTGGTGCGATCAAGCCGGATAATGTTGTGGTCAGGCAACCAGAAGCTGTCGCCGGACTTTAGATGGGTCTCGGTTAGAAGGCCCACGTCGATGCTGTGCTTGCGGAGGAAGTCGGCAAGCTCAATCTCTTTTGCTCTTACAGAGCAAGCATTCCAGGTGACGATAGTTAGCGGTTTAAACGCCATACTGGATGATGAACTTACCGAGCACCTGGATCTGTTCGGGCTTATTGCGGCACTTACGAAGAGCACCGGACATGTTGACGAAAATTTCCATCAGTTCATCCGCTGAGAACAGATCGGGGTTGTTGTTTTGCGCTGTTGGTTGTCTCCAGAATCCAGGGGGAGATGGAGAGCTTTGGCCAGCAAAATCACCGGAAGCACGAAGAGGCGGAAAATCCTCCGTCCTGAATGCTGGGGTTTTGTCCTTCTTGCGTCCTGGTTGATTGTTGCTTGACGCCTGCTTTCGGATGCGTTTGAAGTCCTCGCGTTTGGAGCACAGTCTGTCGGAACCTTGATGTGCACCACCACAGTTAGCGCATTTTATCGCCACGGCTCCATCCGCAGGGCAGTTGGAAGTGGCGTGTTCTTGAGCGCAGTTGCTGCAGCGTGGCTTGATGTTGCAGTTGCGGGTACCGTGTCCAAAATTGAGGCACCTCATACACTGCGTTACGTCACGATGGCCGCCACGGTATGGCTTCCACCGTACGATGATGGAGCAGATTGATCGGATGGCTTGTAGCGCATTGAGCGTCACCGTCCCTTTCTGGAAGTGCACCAGGAAAAGACAATCCGGGTACGTCTTCACGTTTTCGTCTCTCCTTGTCATTCGGAAGACAGCGATTGGGGCAAGCTTGTACCGGTTGATTTCAGCTTCCCACTCAAGATCTTGGGGTCGAAGTTTGGTAGACCCCTGATGACTACCTTGAAGGGCTTCTCACCGGGGATGTCGTGCGTGAAGAATTCCGCCTTGGTATCCTTCAGATATTTCACGGCCACTTCGTACTCCGCTTTTGTTCGGAGCATCACCTTGGTGCCGATCCTGCCGAGCTTAAACTCAGCTGCAACGCCCAGCGATGAAAGATCGCCAATCAGCGTGTTGAGTGGGACTTGCTTCACCACCAGTGGAGGAAGCTCCATTTTTGCTGCACTCGGGGTGGCAGCAGTTTCGTTGTCGACGGCGTCGCCGAAATCACCAATGACGCTGACGTTCGTCGCGGTGGCATCGTCCCGTGCACTCGCACCATCGGACTGGCCTTGATTTTTCTTCCTCTTCTTTGACCGCTTCACCGTGGCTGAGGTGGTATTCCCTACATCGGTGGGAAGAGTAGCGTACCTATTCGAAATAGGTATACTCAAGCTACCCTCACCGCTGTTCTTCTTCTCCGTTTTCTCTCGGAGCCTGCTCCGGGAGCGCTGTCTTCCCATCACACGAAGCGACCGACATTACTGACGACGCGATTAAACTGCGAATGTTTGGAACAAGCTAGAAACTTTAGAACAACTCGACAGAGCGAGCAAAGACCGAACTGTACTGCTTGACGTACAAGCAGAGAATCAGACACTGCAGAATATGTCTGATACCTCTATATATGCATTTTAGATTATCATTCGAAGTCCCTCCTTTTTTACATATTCTGTGCAAAAGATACTTTCTTCCACGCCCAATTCATAAAAATTGGCGGGAAATTCTGTGAGGGGTGAGATGTTTTGTTTGCAGAAAGTGTAAAAAAGAAGGGACTTCGAAGATTAATCTAAATGCATATAAAGAGTTACCAGGCATGTTTTACACTGCAGTGTCATCTAAGAACAATTAACGGAAAACAGATTGGGCGTAGTTTCCGCTAGATGTCACCGCAAACAACAGCAGTGACATCTGTTGGAACATTAATGCAGAAGCTTGACAAAATGATTAATTTTCCGAAATCGTAAAACATCAACTTTTTGAAAATCTTGTCAAATTTTGAAATATTTTTATATGTTTTTTTATGCAGAAAAGATTTTCTGCAGACCAGCACATCGTTTCCCATGCACAAATTACAAAAACAGCGCGGAAAAATCGTTCACAAATTTTTATTTTATTTTTTCCATGTGTTCAATTTCATCAAAGTTAGCATTTTTATAGATTCAAATACTTTCATTTTTCAATCATAGGATTTCAAATTTTAATAATGTATCTTTTTTGTTGTGAGTGAGAGTGCGTGAAAAGGCATGAGAATCTCAAGCGTGAAGTTTGTTTACCAGTTTCACACGCTAGTTTATTAACTCATAGATGCTCAATGAATGAGATTTGAAAATTATTTTCAGCTGATCGCTGCTAGTGAGGCTGGTAAACCGAACCGATTTATTTACTAAGTTTAGGACCCTAATACTAGATGTGAAACTGAATCAGGCAAATGTAACTGACCAAAAAATGCAAACCCTATCCTAAATGCAAACCCTACCCTAATCAGCGTACCTATAGCTTCTAACTTGCACTCCGCTATACGCACTTTTTCTCTTTTGTGATCCCAAAAGGATTTAAAATTCTATCAAAAAACACTCTCGAGTTTTTTGCAATGTTTTAGCGTTGCACGCATTTCGGCTTTCGCTATGAACGAAATCCATGTGGCCATCGAAATGCAACCGGCATGTCTAGCTGCTGGCGGTCTAATGCCGTCAAGCGATCGATGAAAGCGCACTTGTACAGAATATATAGTGCCATGTACGGTTGCATTGAGATTAAGCCCTTACCTAGGAGAATAACAGTCATACCGTAGTATTAATTAACAGCCGATTGACTTTCGTGGAAAACTCTTCCTAATACAAATGTTGTTATCTTGTTTCCCTTTTCCAGAGAAATCGCCAAGAGGAGCTGGAGTCATGTGATTAGAACAAAAACGTAGGTAAATTTGAATAAGATAATCCTAGATTAAACCGACTAGATTCGAGCAACCATTAAACATAGAGACACATCTGTACATAGGATTTAGACATGTAAGGTAGATTGAACACGAAATGCAGCATTGTTTTTTATCTATAAACTCAAAAAAAAAGCCACAAAAAAATTAAAAAATACGTTTAGACGTACGACGAACACATTGAAAGCGAGTGAAAGAGACTATTGCGTTTATTGCTGTGAAGATGTTGAAATAAATCAATGTCAAAAAATATGCACGTTGATTGTTCTTCGATTCTATCACAATTCCATATAACGCTGTTTCGTTCGCAGTCATACTACGAAGCTTACTACTGAGCAGGTGCCAGCAGGTAAGTTATGTTGAATCGAAAAACTGCATTTTCCGAATGCCAATCCGTTTTGTGTATCCTTTCAGGTTTAAATTGATTTGTGCTCCCCATGTATGCTAAAGTGATTATCATTGTTCAGCACTTGCCTTGTCCTCGAGAGCGGCTGTCTCATGGGAAATTTATATGCATGTAGGAAAATATTGTACCCCCTAGGGCTATTCGGAAAAGCACTGTTTGTCTTCCGAACAGTCCCATCAGTTTCTTAGATGCAATTTTATCAACGATTGGATTCGATATCGTTGGTAATGTATTCAGAAAGGATATCGAGATTAAAACAACCCAATTTTGGAACTGATTGCAAAATGCAAATCAAGCGTAAAGAAGGGGTCTGCAATGCTTGTATCCTACCAAGCATCATCGGTTTCAAGTCTGACCATTGAGGAGCCCACTGGCACGATTGACCGTCTCATTTTAGCTACTTGATTTGGTTGATTACTTTTGTGTTGTGTAGGAGTGATTTTCAGTTCAGTGTAGGAAAATGATCCACAAAATGGTTATTGAATTGTAACTATCTCAAACGGTTCATAATTTATTTAATCATGCATTATAAAGAAAAGCTAAAGCTATGTTTGTCTTAAAAAAAATCAAAGAAGCTTAATTTTAAACATTTTAGATGAAGGCTTTGGAATGTTCTGAAAAGTTCTTAGAATTTCAACTTTTATCTGATTCAATCACTTTGAAGAATTGAACAACGATTCTTGACATGATTCCGAAAGATTGCGAAAAGACAATCTACGGAAATTTCAGAACTTCTAAGGGAGTTTCACGATAGTTCTGAAGACAACTTTATGAAAATTGTGACGAGAAATCCAAGTGAGTTCTAACGATGTGGACAGCGTTTCGTATGACTACCGAAGGACTGACTTCGAGGGAATGGCAACCTTTTACGAAAACATCAGCTGAGACGATGAACTTCGAGATCGTGACGTGAATGCTGCCTCTTCTGTTTTCTCGAATATTGTCATCTATGCGATCGATCAGTTTGCACCAATGACAACTCAACCCATATCTAGTAACCCTGCTTGGTTCAACCACCGACTCAAGCAACTGACGTCATCCAAACGAGCTGCCTTGAAGAAATTTTGTAAACTTCGAACGGAGGCATCGAAGAGGAAGTACAACCTCGCTAACAAACAGCTTTATCAAACCTATCTACATCTACAAGCTAAAGCAAACCCCAAGAGCTTCTGGAATCATGTGAACGATCAACGGATGGAATCGGGCTTACCTTCTACCATGTACAATACGGATCGAGAAGAGTATGATACGTAGAGAATCGCTGACCTGTTCATGTCACAATTCAGCAGTGTCTTCTTCAAAGAAAATTTACCTAACGGCTGTCTTCAAAAAAGGCAATAAGCAGTCGATGTCCAAATACCGTGGCATCACTGCTATAAGTGCAGTCTTAAAACTTTTTGAACTATTGGTGCGAATTATTTAAAACAAACATGCTCTAGTTATATCACGACCGAACAACACGGATTTATGCCGAAGAGGTCGACCGTTACAAATCTCGTTCAATACACATCATCAATCATACGCAAGATGGAAAGAGGTCATCAAGTGGATGCTATCTACACCGATCTTTCTGCTGCTTTTGATAAAATCAATCACGCGATTGCAGTGGCCAAATTAGAGTGACTTGTTTTTCACGGTTCACTTCTTGATTGGCTTCGCTTATACCTCACCGGTCGGCATACGTCAGTGAAGATAGGAGATCATATTTATCAACCGTTCGTTGCTTCTTCTGGTGTATCTCAAGGCAGTCCTCTGGGACCGTTCATATTTTTATTGTATCTGAATAACGTTCACTTTTCTATCCGTTGCCTCAAGCTTTTGTTCTCCTTGATTTGTTTTCCGTTGATCTTGTTTTCCGTGCTGAGCACCAATGCTACCGACGCCAGGGAGGCAGCTCCCTATCGACCCATCAACTCATGAACCGGGGACCAACGGTTTTACTTCCCTTCCAAAGGAAGGCGTGATCAGAGATGTTATGCCTCAGAACATCCCGGCGGCGCCGACTGGGATTGAACCCAGGCCTGCTGGAGTGAGAGGCAATCACGCTTACCACTACACCACCGACACCGTTATTCCGTCAAGCTGTCCTATTAGACTGGCCCACATTTTTATTTTAACAAATAGAGAGTAGATGTTCTCTTAAAAATTATAAAATATTAATTAAAGAAACTCTGCTGAAGACATTAAGTTGCCATGACTTCAATTTATCGATATATAGGATATTGTTTGTGCAAATCGTGTAGTACATGTTAAATTACCCTATTATTTGTAGTAATGTTTGTATCCACGCACAGGTGTCGTTAGTGGTATAAACAAAAGTGTTTCCTTGTGTCTTGCTCTGTATACAAAATACTGCTTTTTACTTTAAAGAATGATGAATGATAATAAATAAATGATATATTAACGTTCTACCCTCCGGCCAGGCCTGATGCCTGGCGGAGGTAATACAAATCAAAGGGTTGTGTCCTAGACACGACCACAGTATGACGTAGAACTACGCAAAATTGATGTATGTCATACATTTATGACTATTATACTTTATATTATTTTTTTCAAGTATTTCATTGTTTTGGTTATGGTTCAATGTTGGTTCAAGTATTTCTCCTGGAATGTAATAAATTTTTAGCACTAACTTTTTTAATTGAAATTTCTCATGAAAGTCATCTTCTAAAGACTATTAAAACTCTTTAAGACAAATGTTTAATAGCAAAATGTGTTGCCTGTATCTCTTCTAATAAAAAAGATATACCCGAATATAGTAAAAATATGAATAAATTCAAATTGATTTAATAAGAGTTTAAAAAATAACGTGCCTCCAATATTTGCATATTATTGAGAAAAGCATACGTCCATACGTAGCATACGCCATAGAAAAACTTTTTTTTGTCCCAATCAGAGATATTAACATTTGAAAAGTGCATATTTTTAGCATAAAAACGTCAATAAGTCTTGATCGGCGAAAGATATTGACAAGCTTTGTGCGGCAAAAATTTTTGCCTTCTTAAGATCTATAAGTTAATTGAAGACAACTTTGCTGAGAAATTCGAAATAAGAAAAATAGAGCAAAACAACTGTTTTTTTTTTAGAGCCACCTCAACTCAATTCAAGAAAATAGCTCTAAATCGGCCAATTTAAGAGATACAAAAAACTTTGCGGAATAATATTTACCTTCATTTATTCAAACAAATAAGTTAGATTTTTGATTTTAATGATAATAAGAACCACCCTAGAATTCATTGTCATAAAAAAGGAACAACTTTGTAGAAGAGACTTTTAGTCTAAAGTTTCAATTTCAGGCTCAAAACATATCATTTCACCTAAATCTGCATTCTGGACCACTGTGCAATGGTTGCTACAAATTAATTTGAATTTCCTACCTCGAGTTGCCTTCACCTTCTCCAGCGTCCCAACCAGTAGATGGTGACGTATTACCTTTAACTACTTTCATGTCACTCTGCAGAGGTCTTGAGTCGTTTGGGAGAACCGTCAGCTTGACGATCCTTCACATCTGACTGACTACAAAACATATCTGTTACCTCTATATATGCAATTAGATTAACATCCGAGGTCCATCCTTTTTTACATATTCTGCACAAAACATACTTTCAAAGCGCCGTCCCTGACAGGATGTCCTGCCATTTTTTTTATAAATGGAGCGGGGAAGAAAGTATCTTTTGTGCAGAATATAAAAAAGGATGGACTCGGATATTAATACAAATGCATTTAAAGAGGTACCAGATATGTTTTACAGTTAGTTGTTGATCAATCACAAACATCAAAATGCAGTCATGAGCGAAGTTTTTCTCAAATGTCGTCTTTTTCTCATGTTGTCATTAAAGGGGGGGAAGGGGGTGGTTTGTTTGAATAAATTCCACGTTGAACCTGTCGCTGGTTGTCAAGGTAATCACGATTTGTTTACGGGGTTTTTACAGCTAGGCGGATTTGCTAGCGCTAGTTTACTAGTCAACTAGCATATGCTGGTAGCCGCTGGTGCCCTGCTTACATTATGCTGGCTACTTTTTTTGCACAGCGCTAGTACACTAGTGCTATCAAATCCACATAGATGTAAACATCACATTAACAGCTGACCCAATGCCACGCCGTCCCAAGCGGCAATGAGCATAGGTTAGTTTAAATGATCTTTATTTCAGTTTAACTTGGACGATTACCATATAATTTTTTTTACTTAGTGATTTAATTGCTTTCTTCATCTTTAGGTATGGGCAAAATTCAAAATTTGTTTTACAGAATTAGTCCTAGACTTAGTACACGGTCGACCACCTTGGTGGGATTGGTTTGTTTTGTTTTTAGAATTTGAAGAGAAACTACTTAATACTACTATTGACAGCTTAAAACTAACCTACTCTACTATATACACTTAACCTACTATGTACAAATTGCTGATTAAAGCATGTTCAGAAAGATTGCATTTTTCAATAAATTTGGTTGTCATATCATCAATTTTGGAATCTACTTTGGGAATTTCTGCCTCTTGATGGAGGTCTGCTATTCTTGTGTTGAATGGACGATCTAGGATCATCCTCAACACTCTATTCTGTGCAACCTGGATTTTGTTCCTGTGGGTCTGAGCGCACGATTCCCACACCGGGGCGGCATAGAAGATCGCGGGGGCTATGATCTGTTTGTAAACAGCCAGTTTGTTTTGTCTTGAGAGGCGGGATCTGCGGCAAATGAGCGGATACAAACACCTAACCAAGGCGGAGCACTTAACTAGGGTTTTCTCTATGTGCGAGCGGAACAGGAGCTTCTCATCGAACA